GGCCTCCGCCAACGGTCGCTCCCCGCGCCAACGGTCGCTCCCCGCTCCAACGGCCGCCCGCTCCAACGGCCGCTCCCCGCTCCAACGGCCGCCCCGCTCCGGGCTGCCCGCCGCTCACCTGCCGCGGCGGCGACGTCCCGGAGCACAGCAGCGCACAGTCCCAGCCAGAGGAGCCGTGGGATCGCCATGCTCCGCTTCAGCTCCATCGCTCCCGCTCCACCATCCTCCCCACAGCTGCCGCCGGCTCGGGGGGCGGCCGCAGCCCTGCGGCGCCGCCCGCCTCCCCCGGGAGGCAGCAGCGGCAACGAAGCGGCAACTCGGCGGGCGGGCGAGCGGCAGGAGGGCGCGCTCGGCGGGGCGGCCCCAGCCGCTGCCCCGCTCCTGCTCGCGGCGCCGCTCGCTCTGGCTCTGGCTCTGGCTGCGCGGCTGCCGCAGGACGGTCTCCCCCTGCCGGCGCGCGGCCGCCCCGCGCCGTCTTATCCCTCCCGCGCCGCCTTCCGGGCCAGGAAATGGCGCCGTGGGGCGGCCGCGCCGCGCCGGGGCCCCGCTGACATCACGGCTCGTGCAGGGGCGGCCGCGGGCGCCGCCCGCGCCGGGACGTGGCGCCCGGCGGAGCGGAGCGGAGCGGGGAGGGGGCCCGTGGGGGCCGGCGAGGCGGCGGGAGCCGCGGCGGGGAGGGGCGCGCGCGGAGCCGCCCACAGGTGCCTCCATGGGGGGAAATAAAGAAAAGGGGGGAAAGGAGAAAACTCCCGGCGGTGACTTTTCCTAGGGATTACGGTGCGAATCTCTATGAAAGGCACTGTAAGGGGGCAGTGCAGATCGCAGCTCTCGGTCCTGCTGTGGGGACGTAGCTCTTCCCTGCTGTACCTCAAGAGGAATGGAGAAACTGAGGCACGGCAGGCTTATGTAATGCACCCCTGGCCTTTGATCACTCTTATTTATTTGTGTGCTTATTTATTCCCACAGCCCTTTGCATTTCTGGTAGGAATTCCTACGATTTTGGAGCAATACCAAGGAAATATCATGCCTGGAATGAAAAAAATGTCACTCCCTCCCCAGTTCCCGGAGCTGCGGCAGAGAGGCCCGGAGGTGACATCGACAAGTCGCCCTCCTCCCCGGGAGCTCCGGGGCCTCTGGGGGCAGCGAGTCGAGTCGTGACACACGTTCGTCGTGACACCGCTTCGCTGCACTCCTGATGGCTCCCGCTCCGTGCTAGCAGCTCCTAGTGCCTTCCCTGCCCTCGCTCGCTTGCTCTCTCCCCCGTGTATCCATACATACCCATCTATGGTATATATGTGTGCTGGGTATTGCGGCGCTTACTCATTTGGAGAGCGGCTTCTAGAAAGAGCGACATTTTTAGGTTTTAGTTGCCTCGTGAGGGAAGTGTGACCATTAGAACAATCCTGTATTTCCACAGTATTTTTCTCGTGTAGATTTTGAGCAGCTTTACAATAATGGTGACTTACTACTCTACATTGGTCCCACGGGCTCAGGAAAAGCACCAGTTTACACACTGGGACCAGCAGTGACCCGAGCAAGCCTGTGGCAGAGAGGGGCTCAATTCTACTTGCCTGCACTTCAAGGAACTTCATAAGTCTCATTCGAATGTCATATATGACCATCTCAGTGGTAGAAAGGGCAGGGCAGAGCTTTGCAATACTAGGGAATTAATCTCCACGTAAACCTGTTTGGCTTTTCCTTGGCATCCAGAGCCCAGAGGTGCTGCCTATCCTGTCCCTGAGTATCAGTTGTGAATGTAATTAAGTGATAAGCAAACTTCACAGAGTGTATGCAAGGCTCATGCTGGGAACACCACCCCTCTTTGTGGCTATTTTGAATATGGAAAAGCTCTCTTTTAATTCAAGGATTTATTAGCTTTCCTTCAGTTTTAGAAGGGAATTTTTCAGCCCAAATGTTGACAGATTTCTGAAGGCAGAGAATGTCTGTCAGAGCCATTCCTCACCCTTTGACTGGCTTTAATTACATCAGTTATCCCCACCCAAGCCCGAACCCAAACCAAAATATCCTACACTAACAGGAGCTTGTTTGTGTGCAGAGAAAAGTATTTGATGGGAAGACCTTGTAGCGTGACCCAGGCCAGACTCCAGACTTGTGTAAGCCAGAAGGGAGCAGAAGGACAATGTGGATTTTCACTAGCAGGGAATCTGGCTTCAGCTCTTCTCAGAAGGGCTTTATGTCAACAGTGATAGGCAGGGAGAACCACATGGAAACTGGAGTGAAATCCTGTATGCACTGCCAGTTGGAGTGTAAACTGCTGTGGGAAAACTTATGGAGGAGTGTGATATTACCATGCAGAAAGCAAAGGAACTGGTAGTTCTGAAATGCTTTTAGGACCTTAAGGCAAGTAATTTCCCCTGGCCTTTAGTGTCACTGAATGAAGAAGTAACTTGGCTTCATTGTCCTGCACTGTACCCGTGTCAGTGCTCCCTGCTCGCAGGCGGAGGACTGGCGGACGTGGCACCGTGGCTTGGAAACAAGCTGGTGCCGTCCTCCTCTCGGGCCTCCTTTGCCGTTACCACTGCAGCCTGTCATGTCTCCCTGGCCCTCTTGGCTGGCATAGGCACATCCTGGGAAATGCCTGGAGAGCTGCACAGTCATCAGCCCTGAATTCCCCAAACAGGAGGTTTCTGAAGATGGGGACAATGATAAAACAAGAAAGGAAAGAAGGAAGGACAAGAAGGGACGGCTTAGTGGACTTCCTCACCTACCTCTCATTTGCAGCCATTTCCAATTGTTGAGATCCTCCAAGACGAGAGCGGACTATCCACAGTAGACAACCCCAAGTACCTGTGTTGTAGACCAGGAGCCATGGCCCAGCAGCTCAGCAAAAGCTGCTGGCACTGCTGAAATAGAGTGTCTGAAATGGGATACAAATCCCCATGTTTCATGCAGTGTTTTCCATAGAGCTGCCTCGTTTGCACTCCGGTTTGAAAACTGTGTCCTCTCCCTGCTCTCACGCTGGGTTCACAGGGCAGCGCAAAGGGAAGACTCCATCGTGAGAGGACAGATCTGTCCTCCTGCATTAGAAAGCTAAGTCACGGCAAGAGGGACAATAAAGTGACATTCAGGAGTGACAGGAGCAGCTCTGCTCTGGGGGAGCCCTAGATGACTGCCCGGATGCCTCCTGAACTGGTAGTCTGTTGAAATCAGAAAATTCAGTCCCAAGCCTGGATGGGAACTGCTCCCACTCCAGCTACTACCACCAGGAGCTGCAAGGACCGGCAGGGTGGCCAGAGGCGTGGGGACTTTTACACCTTGGAGATGGATTCTCAAATATACATCCCAAAGCCGGGTGAAATCAGAGGGAAGAAGGAAGCAGATTCCTCTGGCTCTTCAAATCCTGCCATGGACTCTTTGCAAGCTGCAGGACACAACAATGGCTTTTAAGGACAATGACATTGCTAGACCTTGTTTGTATCTGGTAACAATGTTGTTTTAGTGCAGCTGCTTCTATGGACCCACATATAACACTGTCTTGAAATGCATGTGGCCAACCTGACCAGGACAAACGTTGGACATCTTGTTATTTCAAGCTACAGGTGCCTGCAGCAGCTACACAAGAAGACGTGACATTCACTTTGCCTATGTCTAGGGTAAGCTTGCCAAAACCGAGGCGTGCGCGCATCCGAGAGTTATCTCAGCTGCATCTGAATTCTGCTTTTTTAATTTGTATTTTTTCTACCATGTCATCCTTTCTCATCTCTTGTTTGTCTTCTTCCCTACCAACTCCTTCCATGAGAAACTGTGTTGAAATATTCCAGCCACTCTCTTACTTGGAGTTGCAGCCTCCTCCAGGTCTGAAACCTTCCATATGTGCTGGTTTTAACTTTCTCTGCGAGTGTACAGATAGGGAACCATATTACAGACTTGCACTGACTCCATTTTAAGAATAAAAATAAATTAGAGATGGGGCTGCGCTTTGAACTCAGATCTGGTTATTTCCTCATTCCCAGAATCTTTCAGCTCTTTCCTGGGGGCGGTAGGAGGCACAGCATGGGGACAGGGACTTGGTCATTGGAGGGTGGATCTAAGTTTAGATTTTTTCTCAGTTTGACTTTTATCCAGTTCAGGATTTTGTCCCCCGTCTAGCTATAAATGTTACCCCAAGCACAACATGGCACCTCCACATGTCTGGGAAGGTTATTCTTTTTTTAAAGGTGATAAACTAGCACATCATATGTGCTATTTATCTTCTGCAATAAATGCCAAGCTGTCAGAATGAAAATGTCACATAGATCCTACGTCAAGTATTTCCATTTAAAACATTCAACTCAGAAAAGTTTAGACAACCTTTCTGGTGATGCAGTCATTTGCACCAGGTCATCCAGATATTGCCAGTGCTAAGGAATGTTTCTGTTTCTGGAGCTGGAATAAATACAGTACGCCAAAACAAAGTCCTCAAACCAAAACAAAATATATTTAACATGGTGCAACAGTCAATGCCATAGGAAATCACCATATAAGTATGCACAGTTATATATATATAATCTACACATACTAATAAGACTTTACAAATCTCATGTTACATGTAGATACACACAAAACTGACTCGGGAGGAAGCATTTGTTGCCAGCCCCTCTGGGGACGTGGTTTCTTACAGACTTGCTGTAGGGAGTTGGACCACTTCGTTGGGAAAGTGACTGTATTGCGAGTGCAGAACGTTCCCCCACGCGATCCCCACCTCCGCCAGCCCCGGGGTGGCAGCTCCCAGGGCTTCCTCAGCAAACAACCCCCGGCTGGATGCAGGGCAGGCACGCTGCGAGGTCCCTAGCACGTCACAAGCGTGGCCGTAAGCTCCTGGCTTGGTCTATGGCACCCAGAATAGGGAGTATTCCAGCTATGCCCCATTGCGGAGCCGAGGGGGGAAGGAGAGGGACAGAGGAGCCGTGGGAGAGGCCGGAGCGCTTGCCCTGCCAGTGAACACCACGTCTGCTTGGCCAGCACCAGGTTATCTAATAGTTATCTAATAGGCTCTGCACCTCCTTCAAGGGAGATCCTGCAGGGGCTCCTGGCTGTCCCAGCAGTTGTCCTGACTCCTGCTCCAAGTGGGACGGCAGGGCGGGCTCCAGGCGGAAACTCCTCCCCGGGACACAGCCAAGCGCAAGGCAAAGCAGCACACGCCTGGGATGGCTCCCATGCATGTGCCACGTGCAAGAGCTTCCTGGCAGCTCCAGACTGTCAGTGCGTATGTCACGGGGGTTAATACCATATTTACCTTTTTTTTTTCCCCTCGCTTTTTTCCTCTCTTCCAGCTCCTTCAGCTCCGAACAAGTGGTAGGAATTAAACAACCACAAAACAGGCCCACAGTCCTAAAAATAATGGTGCTAACAGGGCACTGATCTACATTGGGGCTCCTAACAATTGTTAGCACTGGTGAACCAGAATGAGGTTAACTACATCTGGAAATGTTGCAGACTGTCTCCACTGTAGGACAGGCAGGGCAAGGTTAGAAAAGGGCAGGCCTTTTGCTCTATCAGTGCATTTTGTTACTCTGCAGTGGAAGTGCTAAGAACTACCCAGGGCAAGGGACATTTTCTGTGCTTGTGCCAGTGGCCAGTGAAATTTGTGCTGCAAATACCATTTTCGTCTGTTTGTTCTTTTGCCAAGGGAAGCCAATTATGTCCTGAAAAAAATGCCCTCACTGTCAGGAAAAAAAAAAGGTTAAAGATGAATTGGAAAGCAGAAGTAAGGAGAGGAAAAAAAAGAGGAAGATGAGGAAGAGAAGAGCAGAAAGTGAAAAAAAAAAAAGAAAAATAAATAATAAATAAGAAAATGAATAAAACATTTGTGAAGAGAAAAAAAGCCAAGTTTGGACTTTACAGCAGGTGACTCAGATCCTGCAGAAATGAATTATCCTTCTGACTCAACAGTAACTGGCTGTGTGTCTGTTAGCGTTTCACTTGCCCTTGCTGTATTTAACTTTCTTACCTTGCAGGACATCCAAGAGAGCAAATACACTGCAAAGCAAAGGCTTTAAATTTCTCCAGTGGAAATATCTGTAAGATACTCAGAGTAAACAATAAGAAAAACGTTGAGAGCAGGATGGGCAGAGAGCCAGGAACGAGAGAGAGAGTGAGGAGCAAAATAATGAAAGGAAGAGAGAAGAGAATGAATCAGAGATCACCTGAAGGAGGCAGAGAAGCTTTTGGAAATGAAGTTAGCTATTTGCTGGAGTGAATGTATCCTCTAGCAACGGCAGGGAGAAGAATTGAGATCAGGAACTTGTCCTGGGGATCCCACTGAGGGGTCCGAAGCTTCTGCCTCCTTGCCAGTGGCATCTCTGCAAACGTGGTAGATCTGTCCCAGGACAGGGGAGCCAGGAGGCCGCAGAGGCCACATCACAGTGAGGTTTCCAGGCAGGAAGAGCGTCTGATGTAGAAATGCCTCCTGTCGTGCGCCTCGGGCCTGTGCACGATGAGCACAGGGAAGAAGCGGGCGTCATGGTAGGTGGGGGGGTTTTCATTGACAGCCAGCTGGCTGGAGTAGGAGCAACACTGCTCGTCGTGGCAGCCCCGCTCCGCGATGCTGCTGCTGCGGCTCCTCCAGAGGCCTGTCCTGTGGGAGCCGTGGATGCGGCAGAGGGAGAAGCGGCTCGTGTTGAGGGAGAGGCGCGAGTTGCCGCTGCAGCTGTGGAAAGCGTGCCGGGAGAAGATGGAGGAGGAGCTGGAGGCGCGGTTGCAGCGCTCGCAGCCGTGGGCCGCCTCGCTGTACTCACACACCGCGTAGCTGTTGTACGCTGGCGAGTCCGCCAGGTCCATGAGCATGGCCTCCGAGTAGCTGGGGATGAGCTGCCGGTTGGTGCAGATGTGCCACTCCAGCTCCGTGCTGTCCTGAGTGCTGTCCCTGGGCATGCGGTACCTGTACAAGGGCTCCTCCGTCGCAGCCGGTGCCGTGTACTCCAGGCCCAGCAGTTTCTCCACGTGGTAGTGAACATAAGCAGTCCGATACTCTATGAGTACCCTAAGTGGCCAGGAGATCATCAGGAGAGCTGCGACCCAGAACGCGTAGTGAGACACGTACCACGGGAGGTGATCTGGGTCCCCATAGGCCATCATAAGTTCCTTGAAGTCCACATTTTTGAGCTGCATGCCTTCCCTCACTTCCATGTAGTCATCCAGCCCCTCAATCTCTGTGAAAAAGTGAGCCCTCTGGGTCAAATAAGAGTTCTCAGACTCAATGTTGGCAAAGCTGAAGCATTTTGTGAACCTCAGCTTTGTGGCCGTGTAGCTCTCCAGGCCCAGGAGCTCTTTGGAGATGTCCTTGTATCCACAGTGAGAGTAGTCAAATTCAGCTTCGGCCACGTGGGTGTTGACCCTTTCATGATAGACTTGCGTGGTGGTGTAGGCATCACCGTTGCGGTAGCGAGTCACCTGCCGGGTACGCCGAACGAAATGGTAGCTGATGGCCTTCCACCAGATGCAGGGGGTGGCTTGCTGCATGCGGTTGATGCATTCATAGACACTGTCCACGTCAGCCTTGTACTGCAGCTCCCTCTTGACATGGCAGTGCCAGCACTCCACCAGGTACACCACGTACAGCATGGAGAGGAAGGCCAAAGGGATGTAGACGTAGCCATCTGAGCATGGGCTGTCATGGTAGATCATAGACTTGCCCTTGAAGGAGCTATCAAAGCTGAGCTTGGTGACCCGAGCCAGCTGACACCAGGCTACCGCTCCCAGACAACCGTACATGAGGATGGAGAGCAGGAGGCATTTCCAGTGGGATTCCCTGCACATGCAGGCGCTCAGGGACTGCTTCACAGGGCGTTGCTTTGAATCACACCACCAGGGAAGGGGGGGAGACAGAAAGAGAAGTGAGGAGAGAAGAACCTGTCAGTCACACTGTTTTACATAGCAAACACAACAACTTTTGCTTTTGAGGCTCTGTCTGGTTCTGCTCCAAACTGCCTGGGGATGAGAACACCACCCTGTTTAACATAAACATGAATATATACAGCCTTCCTAGAAACGTCGTGCCCTGGACAGAGATCTCAGGATGAAACTCCATCCCTATTTTCCTCCTCGCTTCAGGGAGAGAAGTCATTTGAGTGGGAAGGACCTGCTGCAGCTTATTGCCCCACGCGGCCTTGCTCCTGTTCTGCTGGTGCTGTGACATTGAGGCCCTCAGACCTGCCAAGTAATGGACACTGCTCACCTGGAGGCCATCAGGAAAATTACTAGATTCAAGAACAATTATTTTAAAAATTTGCAGGATAATTTATAATAATGTACATAATAATGTACAGTGCAGCCTAACTCCTGACTGGCCAGAAAAGTAGCTCCTACCTAAAATACCTTAAAACCTTAACCGTTGAAGCTAAGGGTATATATGTGGGTATTTAAAACGCAGCACAGTCCCTTCTTTCAAGTCCCAGAAGCCAAGCTGAGCAGCAGAGAGGGAGCCTGTCCTCCTGCCCTGCCCTTGCTTTCCCGGAGACACTGTGAGCGCAGCCCGCACGCCCGTGATGCTGCAGTGAATCAGCTGCGTCGTCATGCTGAGCTGGGCTCTCACAGCAAAGAAAAGGCCAAATCAAGCCAAGCAGCGAGCAGAAACAGAGCGGTCCCTCTGCAAAGAGCAGCAGCAGCAGCATGACTGACATTACTGGTTGGCAGCCCTCTACTTGTGGAGGGTATGTGGAGTGAGACCCCCAGCCCCCTGGCAGATACTGCTGCAGGCCGGCGGCCTCCAGCTCGTCCCTGCCAGCCTTGCCTCCTCACGCTGAGAAAATAACAGTGAGGGAGCAGACAGGCACCAGTACTCGGGCATTATCCCTCTGCCGAGCCCGGCTCTGTGCAAAAATAGAAGCACAATGTTACTCCTTCTCCCAAGGGGCCACCTCCAACGTGCCAAACTGCTCCGTAGATGCCAACAGAGGCTAGGTTTGGGAAATGTTTCCTCTTTCCACGCTTAAGTTCTCCCTCTGTATACCTTATCTCAGACCCACAATGCCTGATGCAGTAAGCAAGCTTAAGCCAGCCAGGAATTGAAGGACTATCATCTTATGACCGGGAAATAATAGCCCAGTGCCACACAAGTAAGAGTTTGCCATTTTCCAATGAGGTCCTGAGCCCTGGCTTCTAACTCTGTTGGGCTTTAAGGCAGGAATTTAATATCACTTTTTTTCTTTCTTTTTTTCTTTTTTCTTTTTTTTTTTTTTTTAATGGGACAGAGATCTATGGATACCCTTAAGTAGCTGTAGAATTTCTTATGGTTCTCTGTGAGCACTACCACACTTCATGTGGTTAGGTTTTGAATTCATAGCTTTAAATCTGATAATGTAAATGCAGAATAATTTTACTGATTTTAGGGAGCTGCACTGGTATTTATCTACAGTAACTAAAACAGAATCTGGCTCTTGATGCTTCCAGAAGGAATCTCTAAATAATTTACATACTTATCCCAAACATTTTGCATATATTTATGCATTAGAATAAAGAATAATTATACTGGGCTGAGTTTTATTTACTGAGGCCATTCACACTAATAGTGGCAAATGGGTACAGACAGGCTAAACAGGTTTTAGGCATATTATACAGGCATATTATACACCTTTCCTGTAGGCAGGGTAGTGAAGAGATGTGAGCATGGGGTAAGAACAAGGCTGTTTTCCATAACCTTTCCTAGAAAACCTTCAGGAAAGCAAAAACTTTGCTTGAGCCAGCCCCCAGATCAGCTCAACAGTAACCTCAGGACTCTGTGGGTGCCTCCCTAAATTGACTTGCAGTGATGAAGTGTTTCAGCTTGGGAACACCCTCAACACCCACCACTCACTCTGTCCCCGTGCTGTTGCTGCTGCCCCAGGCACACGGTGCCCCCCCCCCCGGCTCACGGCCCCAGGCTCTCCTGACCCTCGGGAGCTGTGCTGGGAAGACCCGCCTTTTGGGTTTTGTCTGGGCTTTGTATTTACTAGAGCTTTTCTACGCTGCAGTGATGCCAAAATACACACTGTAGTGAAGAACTGTAAATACCAACTTCCCACCCTCTCCCCTGGCCAAAGGTTTTCTTTTTTTTTTTTTTTTTTTTTCCTCTTGTGATGAAAACTCTAAAACTTGAAACCAGTCATGTGGACTTGTGCAGGAGATCAGCTGGGCAACACTGCACAAAGGGATCTCAAGTCCAGTCACATAAAACCGGCCATGGTTTATTCTCTAAAGCATCGCAGTGGACACATACGAAAATGCAGCTCTTCCTCCCTGCATCATTGAACACGTGCAGCTATGGTGCCCACATCAGACTGCCCCCAGGTCTACTCACCCCTCGCCCTATTCCCTCTCAGCAGAGTCTTCATGTTTAAAACCCTTTGGGAAAGAAAAAAAAAAGGATTCTTTCCTTCCATCTCTTCTGACCCACCTCCTTACACCCTCCTTCAGTTGCTATCAGCTATCACTCTCTGCAGGTCCTCAGTTATACAAGGATGTCTCTTCTAGCACCTACCCTCTTAGCTCTTACCTCAAATTCTGAGTATATTCATCCAGCCTATATCCCCTTATTGCTCCTTCCTTCTGCTGAAAGAATCGCCTAAAACAGTTACACTGTTAGAAACATGGTAAAGCATCTTGAAAGTGTTCGTAAGACACAAGATACAGCAAATAATTATAAAAAAAGCATTACAAATAATTTTGAAAAAAAGCACCACACACTCATGAAATCTAATAAGGAAATATAACTTTTAATCTTTCTCTGCATAACAAATTCATTAATATGTTAAACCAGTGGCTCTCAGACTTTATTAATTAACATACCACCATGATGCTTGTGGTACTGTGTGGAATTTTCTCCTTTCCGTGCATAATATTTCAGATCGAAACAGGGTCAGCTTGTATTTCTGGATGAATACAATAAACGCTTAAGGAAACTAGTAATTTCCATGATAAGTTATGCTCGTCAGAGAACAAGAGCTGTGTTCAGTGAGGAACGTTGTGGGTTCTGTGTTGTTTTGATGTGGAACAAAACCATAACCTCTGGAAAATGTTAATAGAGACACATAATTGAAGAAAGTCAAGACAGAGAGCCAGACAGAAAGTCCGTGCCAAAGAGAAACTGTCCCAGAATAGACAAAAGCAAAGTCATTAGGTGTTTTGCCTGAGCACTAAGACTAGCAGATGTGCAAAGCAAGGGAGGTGTCCTTCTGCTCCTGCTCTTTGGAGGCTTGGCTGTGAGCATGGAGTCCACCACGGACCTGAGAAATCTCCTGACAAAAGTTTAAATGAGACTGCAGCATTCCTGTGATGGCTTTGAAAATCAAATGCGTCACCCCAAAGCTCCCATCCAGCTCTGCTGAGAGTATCAATTGTAAAAATCTCCAGTTTTTGGACAGCACGCTCTGAGGAAACACTGCCAAGCATCATTCTTATCGCCTATGAATTTCAAGGCGAGTTAAAAATACCTATTGCAAATAATGTCTTGCTACACCCCTGGCATGCTGCCGAGTGGCATTCGGAGGCTTGACTTCTTACCTCTTCTAATTGGATTTGAATTTCCTGCTAATTTTTTTACCCAAATTATCAGTGAACAGAACTTCATTCTAGCTTTCCACAGCTAAAAATCAAGGAAAATTCCCAAATGGCTTAGCAGAGAAGCTGAGGAAAACACTGCTGCAGCTGTGTGGGCGGAGGCTGGGGGACATGCAGGTGAATGGGGTAGTGGGACATGGCTATGGGGCTCACGGAGTATGTGACAACTGAAGGATTCAGTGCATTTGTGGGTTTTTTTTTTTCTTTTTGGACTGTGATTTTTGGACAAAAATCACAAGGCTCAGGATCAGCCAGCGATGTCCATACCCTCTCGTACGCTTCTTGTCTGCTGCCTAGTGTTGCCTGGTGGTGTTTTCCAAGACATGAAATGACAGATGCTACTTAATTTGTTGCCCCAGATGCTGGGAAATAGTCTGGAAAGCCCTAACTGCAGTCAGAGAACTGGAATTTCAACTAACACCTGTAGCAGACAGGAGTTTCCAGGCTGGCAACACGCAGACTTCTATTCTTTAAAAAAAGTTTGGTGCAAAACTTTGTTTGCAAATGACAAAGCACCCAAGCTGTGATGCAAAGGGCAGTTGCCTTCAAAGCCACCCTAGGATGGCAGATGTCCAAGCTGAAAAGCAGGCGAGCGGCCGAAGAGCTCCTTCCCACAGGACACCCACTTCCGGCCCCATTTTGGGTGCTGGCTGCTGCAGCAACACTAATTCAAGCAATTAAAAAGTATTTTCTGTAGCAACAGCATGGAGTAAGTTCAGCACCGCTCATCCCGGTGACCAACCTGCACCAAAACACAGGCAGGTCACTTGTAACTGGTTGTAAACGTCCTAAGGGAGCTGGCAAGCAACTGCACTGAGCGTAGCCAAAAATCCAAAACCCTAACCCTGATTTCTCCTTAAAAGGCACACGTGAAGCTGAAGAACCAGAACAAAGCAGGAGGTGTCTCTCCAGGTCCCTTCCTCCTGATGGGTATGCAAGAACTAACCAGTTTCCTCAGTGTTTAGGCCTGGGCTGGCCAGACATCCTCATTCCCCGCCACAAACTGGGTGGGGTGGTGGGTGGCAGGAGGGAAGAGCCATGCTCTGGGAAGCCTCGACTAATTTTACAAGGCCAAATTTTTGGGTGCCTTTCTTGAAACTCCAGCTCTTCAGTTTTACATGACTCACTGCTTTTGCTGGCTTCTGGATATGAGGACTGCAAGTAGGACTCGCCCACTAATCACCCGGCTGTTCCTACATAATTAGCTGGGATCTTTATGGTAGAATATTATATAACCAGTTAATGATTCT